CATTACACAGCCTGAAGAAATGCAGAAATAAGTGACTCAGTCTTTCAATGTAGGATTAGGAATAGGTAGTAGGTTTTAAAAGGTTATTAACATCAATGTTGCGTCCTTTTCTCATGCTGAACAACAATATTTAATGTATCTGCATTACTGTAAGGGTAGGTTTAGGGTTGGGGTAGGTGTAGACGTTAATCATATTTTTACAGGTAGCATTTTTCGTTGTCGAATTGTACTACCCACTGTTTTAATGGGAGGTAGCAAAATCTGACAGGGTAGCATAAATCGACAGGACACCTGACGCTGACTGTTTTCTCTATAAAACACACACTGTTTTAAGGAGAGACTGTAATGTTTTGTAAATTTTTATTTTTTATTTTTTATTTTTTTTTTTTTATTTAAGTGAATGGAAATGTTCAGCATTCGGTGACTCTGTCATGTGTCTGTATAACAGCAAAGCCAGGAAAATGTCCACCCCGATCATCTGGAAATAGATCGTGTACCAGTTCCTGTAAGAGTGACTCTAACTGTCCCAACAATGAGAAGTGCTGCAGCAATGGATGTGGACGTTACTGTACTGCTCCATATACGGGTATTTGTGTTATATTGTTTTGGTCAGTTGTTGATGATGGGGGAAAAAATTGATAAATATAGCGTTTTATTATTCTCGTATAAAGTAGGTTTGAATTCAACCCTTAAGATAGTTTTAAACACCGGATGGCTTTACAAAATAAACAGGAATAATACTTGGAATATAACTCTCTTTGTAGGTAAAACTTGCTTTTCGTGCTGTATGTTGACGTGGCATATAGTCTACAGTATATGCACAAACTAAAGCTGACTATCTGTGTCCATGCAGTGAAGCCAGGTCAATGTCCCAAACCGACGAACATTCCACTGTTTGCTGAAAGCTGTTTCCATGATGGCCAGTGTCCTGCCACACAGAAATGTTGCCCAACCACCAGTGTCCGTGCATGCAGTGAACCACGTGGCCAGGGAAGCGGCCAGGGTCAGGGGAGCGGTCAAGGCCAGGGAAGTGGCCAGGGAAGCGGCTATGGCCAGGGAAGTGGCCAGGGAAGCGGCTATGGCCAGGGAAGTGGCCAGGGAAGCGGCTATGGTCACGGCCAGGGAAGTGGTCAAGGAAGCGGCTATGGTCAGGGAAGCGGCTATGGTCACGGCCAGGGAAGCGGCTATGGCCAGGGAAGTGGCCAGGGAAGCGGCTATGGCCAGGGAAGTGGCCAGGGAAGCGGCTATGGCCAGGGAAGTGGCCAGGGAAGCGGCTATGGCCAGGGGCGGGGCCAGGGAAGCGGCTATGGCCACGGCCAGGGAAGTGGTCAGGGAAGCGGCTATGGTCACGGCCAGGGCAGCGGCTATGGCAGCGGCTATGGCAGCGGCCAGGGTAGCGGACAGGGAAGCGGCCAGGGTAGCGGCTATGGTCACGGACAGGGAAGTGGTGAGGGCCAGGGTAGCGGCTATGGCAGCGGCCAGGGAAGCGGCCAGGGTAGCGGACAGGGAAGCGGCTATGGCAGCGGACAGGGAAGTGGCCAGGGAAGCGGCTATGGTCAAGGCCAGGGTAGCGGCCAGGGTAGCGGCTAT